GGCGGGGGAGGGCGGCGGGGGCTCCACTTACTGACACTGGGCAGGGTGCACACACACAGCACCACCAACAGGCTCCAGCGGATGGGACGGGCAGCCCTGTTCCCGGGGCCCTGCAGCCAGGACGCCACTAGGTGACGCGTGCCCCCGGCTGCAGGTTACCTGGGCTTGTATGTTTTCTACGTGGTCACGGTGGTTCTCTGCACCTGGATCTACCGGTGGCAGCGGAGGCGGTCCCTGGTCTCCTCCATGCCAGCTACTCCAGGTGAGGGTCTGTGTTGTCCCCCACGAGAGGCCCCGTGGAGGCTGTCCCCCCGTCCCCCCTCCTCCCCGTGCCCTTCGCTGTTGCCTGACATCTCCGAGGCCTTGGCCATTGCCCACCTCCTCTTCGTGCTTTTTCTACTCGAAGACCCACCTCGTGCTCCTGCCTGTGCTGGGGAGGTCTCCCCCCGGCCTTGTCCGCGTCTACTAGCTCCATCCTCCCCTTCAAAAGCGCTCTGCCCGTTAGCCTTGCTGGCTCTGTAAGGATTCCTGAGCGTGGCGATGGCTGAGCCATCCCAACTCCAGAGGGTCTGGCCCCTGCACCCTACCAGCCGCCTGGAGGGGCTGCTCTGGGCGGGCATGGGGAGGGTCTGGGCTCTGGCTGGGGTGACACGCCCCTCCCTCCTCCAGAGATGCTCTCCGATTCCGAGGAGGAGGATCGGGTGTCTTCTACCACCACCAGCTATGACTACCGTGTTCTTATACAGCTTTTTTATTTTTCTTGGAATTTTAAATTGCCTAACTTCCCCCGCCCTCCATGCTACTGGTTCACGTAACAGCTCTGCCTCAGCTGCAATCAGACTTGGCTTTTAATAGCTCACAGCTGCCTGCTTTTCCAGAAAATTGCCTTTGGCCTAATGGAAGTTGCCTCATCAGGAAGTTTAATTCTTCCCACACAGGCCTGCAGCTGATTGACTGACTGACACAGTGCAATAGACCAGCTTGCCTCAACATGGGGACCACACTCTGGTGCAATCTGATTCCTATCTCCCTGTGAAGTCAGTGTACAGCTCATATTCAGCTGAGCCACATTTCTCGGGAACAAGGCTGCAAACCAGCCTCCCCTCCCACCGCACCCGGCCAACCTGTGGGCCAGTTCACCTGCCCGCCACCAGGCCCTGCTGCTTCCTCCTTCTGAGGGTGGGGGGGCTGGTGGGAGCGGAGGGGCTTTGCTGGAGGTCGAGCCAGCCCGACACCTGCCCCTCCCTGCCTGTTCCCAGGGGAAGAGTACCAGCCGCTGCTTTTCTACCAGGAGACCACGGCTCAGATCCTGGTCCAGGCCCTCAACCCCCTGGACTGCAGGAAGTGGAGGAACAAGCCGGCGTACTGGAGGGTCCTCAAGGTGCTCAAGGTAGGTGGGGGCCCCGGAACTGGGCCCCTGGCTTCGTGACGGTGGCCACTCAACCTTCTCTAACTCGGCGAGGACTGCCGAGACCCTCCTGGAACTAGATAACCTGGGACTTGGTGGGGAAACTGAGTCATTGAGCTTGGCTGATGGCCTGACCTGGGGCTCAGTCCCCCACGGAGGAGAGCGTCTTCCCAGGGACAGGGAGAGAAGAGGAGGGGACCCCTCCTGCCTGGGTGAGGGCGGGCACCTGGGTCTGGGTGGGAGACTGGGTCAAGGTGGGTTCCAGTGAGAACAAGGTAGAGTTTTCTAATCACCTGTCAGGTCCCTGGGCTGCATGACCCCTGGGGGCTGGATGTGAGCGGGGCTACGCAGGCTGGCGTCCAAATGCCTTCCCTCCCCCGGACAAGAAGTCAGTGGGCACACTCACAGCCCTTCTCTCCTCCTGGAGGAACCTGGAACCTCCACCGTGTGTCCATTTTAGGGTCCCTCAGTCCGGGCAGGCACATAGGAACTATATTTGCACCCCACGGTGGCTCTGGCTGCATCATGACCTCCTTGAGCAAGTCACACCACCTCTCTGAACCTCACTTTCCTCCACTGTCAACTGGGGGTAATGGTAATGCCTTTCGTCTGCAGTGGTTGTATCAGGAAGTTACTGTGGCAACGAAGCTGCGTAACAAATGACCCCAGAATCTCGTGGACTTACGATGGCAACCCTTTGGGTCATCTAGGGGTGACTCTCTTTCCAGGCTGTGGTCCGCGGCCAGTGGGTTCTTGGGATTGTGCTGTTTTCTTGGCGGGAGAGACCCAGGCAGAGTGCACAAGCACATGTGCAGCCTCTGCTCTCCTCCCATTCACCAGCAGCCCTTCGGTCGCAGCAAGTGCCGTGGCCTCGGTCAACAGGAATGGGACAGGGGACGACCTCCTGCCACACTCTAGTCACTTGACCAGGCGTGTGGGTGTTTGTTTCCGTTGCCGGAAGGGATGGAAGAATTGGAACAGGATCCAGCCTCCCACAGTGACTGTGGCAGCTCAATAGACTAATGTGTGTGAAGGGCTGAGCCTGGTGCCCAGCACGTAGTGAGCACTCGGCCAGTGTTCCTACGAATCGGGCTAAAAACACGAGGTGGGGCCTGTCCAAGCTGCATAAACCCTTCTGTGTGGCTTTAGAGAGGTTCCTCGCCCTCTCTGAGCCCCAGTGTGTTCCTCTGGAAGGTATGGCTGTCAGGACTGGGGGAGGAGGCGCTGTGGTTGGCTGAATAATGTCCCCCCCACCCCACCCCAAGATGTCCCTGTGCTGGTCCCCAGAACCCGTGGAATTGTTACCTTGTGTGGCAGATGTGGTGCAGGGCCCCGAGATGGGAAGATTATCCGCATTATCTACAGGGACCCAGTGTCACCACAGGGGTCTTCACTGGGAAAGGGGGGCAGAGGGTCAGCTCAGGAGACGGGACCCCAGGAGCACAGCTCAGAGAGACGGGCCAAGGAGCACAGGCAGCGCCCTGGGAGCTGGAACAGACGAGGAAACTCGCCTCCCGCTGCCAGAAGAAGCCTTGGTTTTAGAATTCCGTCCCCCAGAGCTGGAGGGAATAGGTCTGCGTGGTCCCAGGGCAGCCGTGTGTGGCGATATGATGCAGCAGCAGGAGCCTAATCCAGGTGATAGCAGCCGTGTCCTTGAGAAACCGAGCCCGGCCGGCGTGGCTCAGTAGTTAGTGTTGACCTATGACCCAGGAGGTCACGGTTCAATTCCCAGTCAGGGCACAGGCCCGGGTTGCAGGCTCGATCCCCAGTGTGGGGCGTATAGGAGGCAGCCGATCAATGAGTCTCACTGATGTTTCTCTCTCTCTCTCCCTTTCCCTTCCTCTCTGAAATCAATAAAAATATATTTTTTAAATAAAATAAACTTAAAAAAAACCGTGAGAAACCGCGTTCCGGGTGCAGCCAGCCCAGACACGGATCTCCCTGGTGACACCTTCCCGCTTTCTGGGACTTGACAGCTGCCTGTGGAGTTCCTGCTGCTGCTCACCGTCCCCCTGGTGGACCCCGACAAGGAAGACAGAAACTGGAAGCGGCCCCTCAACTGCCTGCACCTGGTGATCAGCCCCCTGGTCTTGGTCCTGACGCTGCAGTCGGGGGCCTGTGAGTACCCGCCCCCCACCCCAGGCCAGCCCACACCCCTCCTCCCACCCACATCCCTGCGTTTTCTTGTCAACCACACCACGGCAGCAGAACCCTGGACATCCAGCAGGCACTGACTATGTGCTGGTGTAAGGGACCCCAGCCTCCCTAGTCATGGTCTCACCCCAACTTCCCCCGTCATTCTGGGCGGGCCTCCAGGAGGAGGTGTCACGCAGGAGCTGTGGAGAGCACCGGCTCCCTTCCTCATCCCTCCGCAGACGGCGTCTATGAGATAGGCGGCCTCTTTCCCGTCTGGGCCGTAGTGGTGATCGCGGGCACGGCCTGGGCTGCAGTGACCTTCTTTGCCACGTCCAACACCGAGCCCCCCAGGTTTCACTGGGTAAGAATCCGGGGGGTCTCCGGGCCGGGAGGGGGACGTGAGGTCTTCCTGGCCGGTGTCATGTCTGCGCCTCTGGGGTCGTTGGGCCAGGAACCACTTTCTGCAATGACAGGTCTTTAAAGCCACGGTTAAGGGCTATTATACCTGTTCAAGGTTCTCTCTCTCTCTCTCTTTCTCTCCCTCTCTCTCTCTCTCTCTCTCTCTCTATTTGTAGCAGCTTTACTTTATTGAGATGTAATTCCCATACCATAAAATCACCTATTTGAAATGTACAGTTCAGTGGTTTTTAGTACAGTTTTTGACCCTTGAACTTATAAGCAGACCCACACCGTCCAAATCCGTGTTGTTCAAGGGTCTCTGTGTTCTCGATCCACAGTTGGGAATCCGTGGGTGCAGAGGGGCAGCTGTAGTTAGACATGACTTTCCCACCGCACAGGGTTGGCACCCCCAGCCCCTGCATTGTTCACGGGTCAGCCGCATATTCATAGAGTTGTACAGTCATCACCTCTATCAACTGTAGGGCATTTTCATCACCCCAGAAAGCAAACCCATATCCAGCAGTCCCACCCTGTCGCCCCTCTTCCTCCATCCCCTGTCCACTGCCCAGGTGCCTTCTGTCTCTATAGATTTGTCTGTTCTGGACATTTTATATAAATGGAACCCTACAATCTGGTCTTTTGTGGCTGGCTTCTTTCCCTTATTAGCAAAATGTTTTCAGAGATGACCTACATTGTAACATGCATCAGTAAATAGGTCTTTTTTGTGGCTGAATAATATTCTATGATGCGGCCATAGCACGTTTTTGTGTGTCCATCCATCTGGGGATGGGCATGTGGGTTGTTTGCACTCGGGGATGTTATGAATTGTGCTGCCGTGAACATCTGTATAGCAGTGTTTGCGTGGACATCGGCGTTCATTTCTCCTGGGTGTGCTTTTAGGAGCGGAACTGCTGGGTTAAATGGTAGCAGTGTGTTGACCTTCTCAAAGGCCATCCGCTGCCTTCTGCACGCAAACTCCCCGCTACCGGGGATCGAGCCTGCAGCTGGGCCTGTGCCCTGACGGGGAATTGAACTGTGACCTCCTGGTTCATAGGTTGAAGCTCAACCACTGAGCCACGCCCGCCCGGCGACACTTCAATTTTTTATTGATGAAAAAAAATTGTGGTTTTTATTTTGAGAAACTTGGAGTGGATGTACCAACCCAGAGGGCTCGAACTCCCAGCTCATTGCTCATGTAGAGAAATGCTTTTCAGCTGTGTTTCTTACTAGTCCTTGAAGTCTGACACATGCTTCGGCAGGGATGGACCTTGAAAACGTGGTGCTAAGTGAACACGTGGTCACACAGGACCACACATTGTGGAAGTCAGTGAGGCCACTTATATGACATGTCTGATCCACAGAGACAGGAAGTAGAGGGGAGGGGCTGGGGTGAAGGTTGGGGGCTTGGGGAGGGACTCCTAACAGTTTATATATATCTATTGATTTCAGAGAGAAAGGGAAAAGGAGAGAGATAAAAATGGGAGAGAGAGATAGAAACATCAGTGATGAGAGAGAAGCATTGATTGGCTGCCTCTTGCATGTCCCCACTAAGGACTGAGCCCGCAACCTGGCATGTGTCCCTGACTTGAATCGAACCCGGGACCCTTCAGTCGATAGGTCGGCACTCTGTCCACTGAGCCACCCCAGCCAGGGCAGGGAGCTTCTTTTTGTGGTGATCCGTGGCATTTGGCCTGTAGACCAGAAATCTGATGAAAACTATGGGAACCTCTTCACAAAATAGCAATATTCAGCTAACATTGTATCGAGCACTTACTGTGTGCTTGGCTCTGGTTTCCTTGCATCTATTAACTCATTATGGGCTCATGACAACCTCGAGAAGTAGGCACTGTTACCGCCCCATTTCACAGATGAGGAACTGAGGCTGTGTCTGCTGGGGGCGGCCTTGGTCCCATCCGCACGCTGTCCCCTCCCCAGATCTTCGCCTTCCTGGGCTTCCTGACCAGCGCCCTGTGGATCAACGCGGCCGCCACGGAAGTGGTGAACATCTTGCGGTCCCTGGGCGTGGTCTTCCGGCTGAGCAACACCGTCCTGGGCCTCACGCTGCTGGCCTGGGGGAACAGCGTCGGAGGTGACTGGGGACTCGGGGGGCGGGGGCGGGGTGAGCACAGCCACATCCCTGCCCTTCGCTCCCCCAGCCAGAGTGGCACAGGGCAGGGACGTCCAGGGCACTTCCCTCAGCACGGGCTTAGCGCCCGCTGACGTTTTTATTTATTTCTTTTTAAATATGTTTTTATTGATTAGAGAGAGAGAGGAACGAGAGAGAGAGAGAGGAACGAGAGAGAGAGAGAGGAACGAGAGAGAGAGAGACGAGAGAGAGAGCGAGAGAGAGAGCGCGAGAGAGAGAGAGACGAGAGAGAGAGCGAGAGAGAGAGCGCGAGAGAGAGAGAGACGAGAGAGAGAGCGAGAGAGAGAGCGCGAGAGAGAGAGAGAGAAACATCATCCTGCACACCCCTGACTGGGGATGGAGCCCACAACCTGGGCATGTGCCCTGACTGGGAATTGAGCCAGCGACCGCTTGGTATATGGTGTGACACCACTCAACCAACTGAACCACAGTGGCCAGGGCCCCACTGACCTTTTGGAGTGACCATCACTGGGCATCGGGATGCCCTGAGCCAGAAGGTTCTGTGGAAGCCCAGTGCGGCTCCCCTCTCCTGCATGGACGCTCG